GGGCAACCCATTGACTAGGGGGACACCCTTGAAAGGGGGAAATGACGCTGGGAGAACCCTGTGAATAGAAAACAGTTCTCCATAAAAGAAAGGAAAAGGCCTGGGATCAAGCTGTATCCCAGCCTAGTGCTGGGCTTGTGGCTACTGAACAGACGTGATCCTTATGGCGGACGGGAGCAGGTGGGAGGGAGGAAGAGGAGGGGGGAGGAAGAGGGCGGCCAAAGGGGAAAGGAGGAGGAAGAGTGTGCCGTAAGGGGAGAGGAGGAAGGTGGGGAGGAGGAGGAGGAGGAGGGGGAGGAAGAAGGGTAAGTGCTAATAGGTATCTGAATCCCCTGAGGATGACATGTAATCTTCCCTGGTTCCTCTTCCATTCCTTGAGCTGGAAAAAGTGGTGGATGTTGGATGAAGAAAAACAAATTAGTTGAGTTTCCTCTTCACCTATCCACTGGTGCTAGGGCTTTGTAGACCTGTACTCATTTTTGTTCATAGTTTCAGGAGAATCCTATTGCTTCAGTGGATCATCTCTGGTTGAGACTAGGAATTCAGTTTAGGTTTCTCATTCCTCCTGGCTGTGCACAGCACAGGCTTTTGTGTAAGCGGATAATCCGTTTGTGATTTTAGTTTGAACATGATTATCGTATTCTAGCCTTACACCTTACTTAGAGTAAATTGTTCAAAATAATTTTTGTGTACCCACGAGTGGATGTTCCACAATTCATAGAACCACGTGCCAAACTGCCTGAAATTGTTTCTTGGACACATTGATTCTGATCCTGATCCTGCCAGCATTCATAAACTATCATAGAACAACAGCTGTGTTGACATGTTTGCGTGTGTATTTAGTGTTCCTTAAAGTCTGGAAAGTGGAGTTGGGATTTTCCTGATCACAGGTTGTAGTAATCAATACTTATTTAGTAGAGAAGCAAGAATTGTTCTGTTTGAAATATGTAAGAAAAAACAAAACAAAAGCCGAAAGTATTGTAGTGTTTTTAAGACTAACAGATTGGTTTCAATATGAGTTTTTCTGGATTACAATCCATTTACTCAAATACAGACTGCAGTTCATTTCTTCAGTCTGCCCCACAGACACGTGGAGGATAATATTTAGGACATGTGTCTGAGGAAGTGGATTAGTAATCCGCAAAAGGTCATGCTGAAATAAGTCTGTCTTAAACAGGAGTGAATAGCAAGTAGTCTGTGCGACACGTGCAGTCTCCAGGGCGTTTTTGCAGCCCTAAGGCCAACCTCAGACTACTCTGTTTAAACACAATATATCCTACCATTATAGGCTCCCAGGAGTTACGCTGTTTGGATCAGGGGCTTTGGGAGGACTTAAACTCCCCAAAGAAAAAGAAACTAGAACTGCTGTGTCTGGGCGCTTTCTGCTTACATTTTTTTCAAAAATGGCTAAAAAGACTGAGTGTCACCCACAGAGGGGTCCAGGGACAGAAATTTGGGATGTAACTCTTCTAATGTTGCCTATTCCTGATCTACTTCTCTAAGAAATGTTTTGGGTTTTTAAAAAAAATAATATATATGCTTTTTACATAGGATGTAAATCACAGTCCTGGGGTAGGCAAACCCCTGCTCATATTTTGCTGACACAATTAAGACAGCTTTGGTCTGTCCCTTAATTGTTGCTATTGCTTTTCTCAGTAAAGCCACCTGTGCTTTGCACGATGCAACATCTTGGCTTGTACACAAGAAGGTTTTGAGGATGAAGACATGGCTGTCTTTTTGCCTGACAGACCTGGAATTATTTTTGTGTGATTAGTGGTTATGCGAGTATGGTGATTATGGTGAAACCTCTCCTGTCGAGGAAAAGATCAGCAGTGTCAAAGTCATGGAAGTTAATTAGATGCACTGTCAGCAACTCTGGTTTCCGGCCAACCTTTAAAGGACATTTTTTGTGGAAAACCATTAACAGCTAAGGCAGCCTTATCACTTTTCAAATCCTTGTCTAATATAACAACCAAATCAGGTTGTTAGCTACCATGAGGTTCAGGGAATCATTCTCTGTCCTTTCCCCACACAACATCAGACATAGGCTCAATCAAGACAGTTAACAATTAGTTCTTTTCATCTCATAGCAGCGTATTTCCCCCTTTAGTAAAGGGTAGATTCAAAACTTCATTTTTCGGATTCCATTCTGTTCATTGCAGTCTCCTCTGGCTCAACCAAATTAGCAACAGTAACATCAAATCGCCCACCACTCGAATAGAAGTAACCTCAGCACCCATACATTGCTTTATTGGTGAAAGATCCAGCTCAGGTTGGATTCCCATATTTAACAGCCCGGATCACTGCGAACCTGGAGAGGCACCTGGTTCTACCCATAATTGGTGTTGGAGGAATCTTGACATGGTCTTGTTTCTCTATTTATTAGCTTCCCGAGCAAAACTTTCCCTTTATTTTGTTTGGTCTCTTTCTTCCGTTTTTCCCAATAAAGGAGGCTTTCTCACCGGCTCAGAGAATATTATTTTCAATTTTTAAAATATGTCACCAATTAAATAAATATAAATCAAATAAATCAAATAAATAAATAAATAAAATATTTGGAATTCAAGTAAACAGAGGATCCAAAAGGTTTGACAATTCAGATACTTTTTGAACATTTCTCATACGTTGGTTTTCCTAACCACACGAATAGTGCTAACATGGATCACCTATTCATTTTTCTCTTTCAAGCATAATGGGAAGGCTTGAGAGTTTACCCTGCTAATTTTTTGCTTTCCTAGCTATGTCAGCCTGCTTCTGAAAAGTAAAGAGATCCTAAGGTTTTCTGCCCCTTGTGTTTCACTGAGGAAAGAAAAAAAAGAAGAAATGTTATGATTTCCACAAACCAAATGTTCTGGATGCTGCTTTTCATTGGACTCTGCAGATAAATTGGAATTAAGCCATAAGGATAATTTCCCTTTTCTTCTGCTGGCCTTGGTGCTCCTTTTGTGTTTTTCCCTCTCTCATGTCAGTCAAAGACCAAGAAAATACTTCAGCAGAATTTCCTTCTGTTGTCCCTTCTATGTTGCAGTACTCCTTCATCTCTCTTTTTTTCTCCATCAGGTAACAAACAGGACAATTGGATGTCTATGGAGCTAATAGTTCTTTCAGGGGAAAAAACACCCAACAGTGAAGCAGGAAAAGAAAAAAAAATTACACTGTTAAAAATCTTCAGCTTCTTCTGTTGATGTTTCTGCACTTCTCATCATTTGAAAAATACCAAGAGGAAAAAGTAAGGAGAATATGTTCAATGGACTGATAAGCATTGATGTGTACCTTGGGTTACAGTAGAACTGGAAGAGTCCACTCAGAGGAGAAACAAAATCAAGTAACAGAGCAGCACCATGTATAATAATTGTATTCCATGGAAAAAACCCTTGAGAGGGGAGAAAGAGTATAAATGCATGGAATGTGGAAAGAGCTTTAGCCGAAGCACTCACTTCAACAGTCATCAAAAAATTCATACAGAGGAGAAACCATATGAATGCATGGAATGTGGAAAGAGCTTCAGTCAGAGTGGTAACTTTAGTGTACATAAAAGAACACACACTGGGGAGAAACCACATAAATGCATGGAATGTGGAAAGAGCTTTAGTCAGAGTAGTCACCTAAGCTCACATAAAAGAACGCATACCGGGGAGAAACCATATGAATGCATGAAATGTGGAAAGAACTTTAGTCAGAGTGGTACCCTTAAGGCACATCAACGAACTCACACTGGGGAGAAACCACATAAATGCATGGAATGTGGAAAGAGCTTTAGTCAGAGTACTCACCTATACTCACATCAAAGAATTCACACAGGGGAGAAACCACATAAATGTTTGGAATGCGGAAAGAGCTTCAGTGACCACAGTAGCCTTCGTAGACATGAAAGAATTCACACTGGGGAGAAACCATATAAATGCATGGAATGTGGAAAGAGCTTCAGT